CTTCCAGCCAGCAGCAGGAAATTAGTTTAACGTGCACCTCTGTGCTGGGGCGGGGAGATGCTGTGGTTGGGAGATACAGAAGGGAACGCTTTCATGTGGGAAGTGCAAGGAGAGGCGAGGGCAGAGGGTCTGCTCGCGGGCAGAGAGCAGAACACAGCCATTATCAGGCAGGGCTCTGCTGGCAGGAAGCTGCTTTTGACTCACAGGAAGCTGAATTGGGCTGGTATCGGCCCTGGTGCGAGGGCCAGGGCAGTGTTTTATCTGCTGTTGAGCACAGCAGATGGGGAAGCAGTCGGCACTCCCTCCCATCCCACTCCTGCCCCAGCAGTCCCAGCCTGATGGCCCTGCAGCATAACCCCCTTGGAGAAGGGATGCTTCCCTGCAGAGCTGTGAAGCTTCCTGGGCCCAGGAGAACTGCCAGTCCCACTGGGGAAGGCACTGCCAGCCAGTGCAAGGGCACAGCCAAGCCCCTGCATGCTGCTGAGCCCAGAACGGGCAGTTTCCAGTTCTTCTGGCAGTGTCTATCCCAGTCAGCCTGAAGAGGAGCTGGGAGCATGCAGGCTTTGGAGAGCTCTGGTTAAATGTTCCCAGATTCTCCCAAACCCAACTCCAAGCTGGGGAAGAGCTTGCAGGGTTGAGAAGTCCTGTGCATGAAGGCTGCTGTCATCCCTTGGCCTCCCGGGAGCTGCCTGGTTGGGTCTGGTTTCGCTGGGGTGGTGGCAGGTTGCTGGGGCTTGGGGTGGAGGTCACCACGGGCAGCACGGACTGGATCAGGTGGCAGCTGCTGGCTGTGGATCTGCTGCCCCACAGAAAACAGGGCTAGCTCATCAGTGCTGCAGTTTGGCTGTGAAAATCTCCCATTATGGCAGTTTTCACACCCAGGCTGGGCTGCTGAGGAATGGCCACAGGGGCTGGTGGAGACACAGCAGGTTGCTGGGAGCACAGGGAGCTGTGTGCGTGGAGGAGGCTGGTCATGGAGATGTGTGGGTGCTGCTGCCAAGCTCCAAGGCAGGACTGGGCTGTGTAGGAGCGATGGCAGGGCTGTGTAGGAGCCATGGCAGGGCTGTGTGGGAGCATGGCAGAGCTATGGGAGCCATGGCAGGACTGTGGGAGCCATGGCAGGGCTGTGTGGGAGCCACAGCAGGTCCATGTGGGAACAAGGCAGGTCCGTGTGGGAGCGTGGCAGCGCCCTAGGAGCATGGGAGGGCTTTGGGAGCCATGGCAGGTCCTTGAGGGAGCCGTGGCAGCTCCATGTGGGAACATACCAGGTCCATGGGGGAGCCGTGGCAGGTCCATGGGGGAGCCTGACAGGCCTGCGGGAGCCAGGGCAGGTCCATGCGGGGGTGTGGCGGGGCTGTGGGAGTGCGGCAGGGCTGCAGTGGGGCTCGAGAAGTGAGCGGAGCTGCGGCCGGATGGCGGTGCCGGGAGTGGTAGGAACCCTCCCCTGCCCCTGCCCCTGCCCCTGCCCCTGCCCCTGCCCCTGCCCCTGCCCCTGCCCCTGCCCGCCCGTCCCGGGCTCGGCGAGGTGCGGGCCCGGCTGCAGTGGCCCCGCCGCCGCCGGTGCCTGCCCCGGGCCGGTCCGCGCCGGGCGGGGCGCGGGGGCAGCGGGCGCGGGGCGGCGGCGGCGGGCCCGGGGGAGCGGATTACCGCCGGTTGCCGTGGTTACCCGCTACCTGCCGGCGGGCCCCAGCCCGGCCCGGGCGGGGGGGCTCGCCCGGCCCTGCCTCCCTCCCCGCCGCAGCAGATGTCACCCCGCGCCGCCGCTCGGGGCTGCCCGGGCGCTCCCCGTCCCCTCCCGCCGCACCGCCCCCGTCCCGGGCCGGGCGGGGGCCGAGCGTGCCCGGGGCGGCTGCCGAGAACAAAGGTGCCGGGGCTGGGCGCTGCCAGCGCCATGGCCGGGCCCTGGGAGCGCTGCCCGGCCCGCGGCGCAGCCGGGACAGCGCTGCTGCCTGAAATGGCTGTCGCCGCCCGGGGCCGGGCACGGAGGCGACCTCGGGCCGCAGAGGCGGCTCCCGGCGCTGATCCGCCGGGGCTGGAGGCGGCCGGGATGGAGCAGGGACAGAGGAGGTGCAGGGGCAGCGAAGCCCAGGGCAGTGGTCCTAGGGCAGAGGGTCCCCGGGGTACCGGTGCTCAGAGATGTGGAAATAGACAAAGGACACTGGGGAGGAAAAAGACCTGATGGAGGAGAGGAGCTGAGAGTGCTCACAGCTCAGGGAAGGTGGGGAGGATGTGAGGAAAGGCAGGGTGAGAACTGGGGGGCACAGTACACAGAGAAGGAGAGACTGGGAAGAGGGAGAGACAGAGCCGTGCTGGGCAAATATAGGGAAAAGGAGGATGGCTGGAAGGTGGTAGAGGGACTCCTCAGCACCTGAAATGCCACCTGCTTCCAAGCACCTCTGTCAGGGCTGAGCTTTGCTCCTGAAATCTTTTCCTCCTTGTGGGGGCAGGTGACTTCTAATAAAGCCCCAACACCAGGACAGGGTAAAAGCATCCCTTCTTCCCATTCTGCTTCCCAACTGAATTTTTATTGCTATTTAAACCTGAGGGGTTTTAAGCCTTTCTGAGATATTATGGGCTCTGACTCATGCCTTGAATACTGGTGAGCAATGCTGGGTGTGGAAGGAGGAACCCGAGGGGCGTGGGCCCCTCTGAGAGGTACTTTACAGCACACGTGTCCTCTTAAATCCTAGGTCAACATTTGGATATATTGCCAGATATAAACCTCCCTAATCCTGGAGGCACTGACTTGATACTGCTTCTTATACCCAGTGGCTTTGATACTGCTTGCATCTCACCTGCTTCCCAAAGCTAAATAATCATCACGGGGAGAGCAGTCACAAGGCTGAGGAGGGGATGGGGGATCGCTGCAGGGGGTGGGATGCTGAGGAGGCAGCTCCGGATCCAGCCGGGGTGGAGAGGAGAGCGAGCGCTGCTGGGTGTGCAGGGAGGCTGTAGCAATGCCCAGACCCTGAGGTTACCTTCACTGCATTCCTTCTGAAATCGGGGAGGAAACAGGGACCTGCTGGCCGGGCAGGGAGGAGGATATTAGCTGGTTGGAAACAATGATTTGCATACAGGGTTGGTTACAGCCTTAATTTTGAAGGCTGTGCTTGTTAGATCTGACTGTGCTTTTCCCCTGCTGCATTTTCCTTTGTCCTGTTTCTGTAATTATCCTCATTTCAACCCTGCTCTGAGGATTATTGGTCAGTAGGAAGCCTCCTAATGCCCACTTCTCCTTGGCAGGGGAATACCCATGCCCTCGATTAAACTGAAACTCTCTGAACGGTGACAGAAGAAATTAGATCTATATTCCTCAAAGACACTCCCTGGGGCGAAGTTTCCCGACCCCCACCACGCAGCCCTGCCACCCTGCCCCTTGTGTTCGCTCTCAATATTCTCTTTGTTACAGCCACCTTCAGCCCGGGCTTGGGGCTCCCCGGGGAGGGGAGAGGTGGTTTGTGTTGGAAAATCCTCGTGCCCATGTCCCGGGTGAGCTCAGCCACCGTCCCACTGCAGCCCGTGCCCAGGACAGGCAGTCTCTGTTCCGAAATTGGGGTGAGGAGCCAACTCTAATAGGCAGCGCTGTACATTAAATGACTGCTCCTCTGAGATGTTGGGTAGCTCTAGCAGAAGGTGGGCCCACTAAGTGATTGATTTTTGAGAGGCCCTTCACTGGTGGCTTAAAGAACAGCATTTATTCAATCTATAGACTGTGTAAGATACACAGAGCCCGACCAAGGACAGCACAAACGCAGGTTAGGAGACTGGCTGTTCCCTTTGCATGCAGACCTCTGCCAGACCCTGCCCACAGCCCCTGCCCACAGCTCTCTGCCAGCTCCTGCCTGCCCTCAGGGATGTGTGAATGCACGTGAAAAAGGTAGTTTGCAGGTAATTTAGATGTGCAGGTTGCTGCTTAGCTGCCTGGTGGGTACCCAGTGGACAACATCCATGCATTCCTTTTGGAAAGCAGCCCTTAAAGGGATGTAATATATATACATATACATACATATATGCATATATATATATATATATATATATATATATATATATATATATATATATAATATTTTCAATTTTTTTTGTCTATGCAAAAATAGCATTTTTTCCAGGAGCAAGCTAAGTGACCTCCCAAAGGCTGGCCCTTTCTCAGTGCCCCCTGCCATTACAGTAGCCACTGACCACCTCCCAGTAGCCCATCCTGCTCTGGTGCTTTGTGCCAAGTGCCGATAGCAGCTGCCGGGTCCCAGAGGCTGCCTCCCCTTCCCACGGCAAACCCTGCCAGTGTGAGCTGACACCGTTGGTGCCAGTCAGCTCGGAGGAGCACTGCTCCCCACACTTCCCACTCCCATCAGTCTGTCACCACTGTCGTGTGGCAGAATTACTGCCTCCTGCTCTCCAGCACATCCGAACACACAAAGAGCTGTGCTGCTGCTGCCAGCGCTCAGCTGCTCTGCGTCTGTGAGAGGGAGGGAGCCTTGGAAAGGTCAGTGCAGGGAAGGAGGGGATGCTGGCTCCTTCCTTTAGGGGCTGTATCCTGGCATCACAGTGAAACCTTGTCCTGCTGGCTGATCCATGTCCACGGGGACTGCAGCCAGCAAGAGTACCTCACATCTCAGGGCTTCCCAGGGTGGTTTAGCACCATGTGCAGGTCCAAAGAGCTTCCCCTGCCTGTTCCCCGCCTAGCAAAACCATCCCACATTACAGAAATTGAATCTCTTGATCAGTTGTGACTCCACTCTGGACTCTTCCCTTGTTTTTATTCCTGGCCCAATTTCATTGCCAGCTTTAGCAGCACGACAGCAGCAGCCGCCACTGCCCTGGCTACAGCAGGATCCTCCCTGAAGCGATGTTTAATTTATCCCCCACATCCCCCGTGCCCAAGGCAGCCCGAGGCGGGAGCACAGCCACTCTGCCCCCTCCAACCACATTAGCCCCGGGCCGATCTCGTCACCCCTGTCACCCATCGCTGACACTAACTCAACTTGCCTGCACTGTTGTAGGGGGCAGATGGACTGTCGGAGCCCGAGGGCATCTCTCTGAAACGCGTGGCTGTGGTGGAAGATTTCTTTGACATCATCTACTCGATGCATGTGGAAAGCTCGTCGGAGCCGGGCAAAGCACCCAAACATGCCGGGCAGAAGAAAACCTACCGAGCGGTGAGAGTCCCGCCGTGCCCCGGGCAGGGCGGGCACTGGAGCGGAGGGAGAGTCCCTCGGGAATGGGGATGGCAGGGCAGGTAGGAGCAGAGCCGCTGGCGGGAGGCAGAGCAGAGGCAGAGCCCAGTGTGGCTGTGCGGGGAGGCGTGAGGAAGGAGGGGTTTAAAGGCAGAGCAGCTGTGCTCGGGGAATCCGGGCTGCAGCGGCAGCACAGCGCGGCTGCTGGGAGAGGAGAGAGCAGGGCAATCATACAAAGACACTGTGCGTGTCTGAAGGGAAAAGGAAGAGGAATCCTCGGTGTTAGTGATGGATGAGAGAATGTTTGTCCGGTCCCGTGCTTGCTGTGGGTGATCTGCCTCCCTGTCTCCCTCAGCCAGAGGGAAATGTCTCCTGTGGGCCTTGAAGGTCAGGAGCAGCCAGACAGGGGGACTGGGGCACGGCCATGGCCTTTCCCTCCTCTCCTGCCCCTCCTGGGTTTCCTCAGTTACAAAATGGAGGCAGGCACCAAGCTAAGTCTTGTCTTGGTTCCTTGGTTCCATGCATGCCAAGAACCAGCTCTATCCACCCTGAAACACCACTCTAGTTAGGTCAGGAATAATTTAGCTTGAAGTGTGCTTCTCCAGGGAGCTTGCTGTTTCTCCTGACTCTGCACAGCCCTTCAATGCAAACGTTTGGGCTCTCCTTTTACAAGAAGAGCTGAATTTACTGTCCAAGACCAAGCTACTCCCTTGAATCCCACAGCCCTAAGGACCAGGTCGCTTAGAGACAGGAGTGGCTTGCTGGCAGCTCATCTCTCTGGTGTATACAATGTCTCAGAGAGGTCTTTGCAGGCTGCCCTCGTCTCAGTGATGATGCCTGAGGTTCTGCACAGCTCTGTGCTGCCAGAGTCAGCACAGGGTTGGAGTCTGTCCTGCCTGCCTGTGTCCCTGCTCCATCCACGCTGTGCTGGGAGTCTCCAGGGAGCAGGGCTCTGCACACAGAACTCATGGCATCACTCCCTGCCCTGAGCACTCCAGTCCTGCCCCTGCAGCAGAGCTGGGGGCTGGGGCACGCACTGACCCTCCCTGGCTGGGGGCAAGTGATGACCTTTTTATGGTCCAGGGGGGGCAGCCCCACCAGCATGACCACAATTCAAAAACTTTCTGCTCATTTCCCCAGCAGACCACTCCGACCCTTCCCTAATTCCTTCAATTCATCTCTCTGGAGGACTAATCTGTGCCCTGCACAGCCCCAGGGGAGCAGGCTGGATCCGTCTGTTTTCCCAGGCCTGCTCACAGCAGTCAGAGAGAGCTTCACGCTCCACCCCTCATCTCCCTCTTGAGCTGAGATCATCACATTAGCAGCGTGTATCCCCTCCTGACCTGGCAGGAGCTGCTGGCTGGGCTGCCCAGCCTGGCTCCTGCCCTCACTGCTGCCCTTGCTCCCCGCAGCGCCTTTGTAGCCTGAGCTGGAAGGTGAAATGGTGCAGAGCACACGCCACGCCTGGCACGGCGCACAAAGGGACACTGCTGGGTGGCCAGCTGGGAGGCTCCAGGGTCCCCTGCCTCCTTCTCCCTGCTCCCTTTCCCTACCACTTCTGATTAGAGACACTGGAGAGTTTGCCCTTGTCCATGACCTCCGGAGGGAGGCAATCAGAAAGGGAGTTTGGATGGGAGATAACTCATCAAGGAAGCTGTCTGCTCTGCAGAGCATCAAATCAGCTGAGAAATAACAACTGTATCACTAAAATTAGCTGAACATTTGCAGCAGAGACTGTGGGCTTGCTGGAGCAAAAGAGGCAGAGACGGCTGAGCCCGGCAGGCAGCAGGCAGGGACAGTTCCCTGCCTGTGACACCCCACCACGGCTGCCACCAGCAATTTCCAGGCCCCTCATTCCAGCGTTTCTGCGGGAATCCCTTGTGCTTGTGCATCGATAAATATCACACAGAGGCAAAGGCTGAGCTGGCATCCGCTCGGCCACAACAGAGCTCGCTGGGGCCGCAGATAAATAGGAGGAGAATCCCATGAGGACCAGGCACTGCAGCCTCCATTTGAGCGCTGGGACAAGGTCCCCGCCTGAACTTTCCACCCATCTGGCATTCTGTGCGTGTGAAAGCCCGGGCTCTGCTGCCGCGCAGTGGAGAGGGATGCGGCTCCCTCCCACCGCAGAGCCAGAGCCGGGCACGGCGCTGCCTGAGCCGTGATCCAGCACAGCCCCGGCCCCGCTGCTCTGCCTCCAGAACAGCACCCCCTCAGGGTACAAAAATGCGTGGAATTTAGGTCTTTTTGTATTTAATGTCGACTTTTAGAATTTAGGAATTGTTAACTATGTCAGGCGGGAGGACAATGTGGCCACAGGAGGGGGATCAGGACATCCTGGGCCATCCTCCCAGCTCAGCCCCGTCACCCACGAGGTGTCTGATTCCAGCCCCACTTCCCGTCCTGAGCCCCACTTCTGCAGGGCTCCCAGCCCCGAGGACTGGCACAAACAATTGAATTTCTGTCTACTTTATGACCCCACTTGTAAGTGCTGTGACCCCTGTGGGGGTCACGGCCCCTGGTTTGGGAACTGCCGTGCTGGGACAAGTCACTTAGACCAAACAGGATGGGTGATTAACCATAGGAGCCAGCCCAAAGTGAGAGGTGGGCTCTCCACCTTTTAATGCCTTCCAATCAAGACCAGATGTCTTCCTGGATGATGTTTTAGGCAAACCACAGGCCACAGGGCTGCAGGAGAACCTGGGTGAAGTTTTGTTGCTTGTGCTGCACAGGTCAGACTCCAAGATTTGATGGTGTTTTATGGCTTTAAAGAAGTCTACATTAAAATGGACTCATTCCTTCTCCAAATAACCTAGCCTTGATCCTTAGAAACACCGTAAAATTACTGCTGGCAGGAATTAATTGCAATAACAGGGATTGCCAGACACCTTCTGTGGGTGCTTAGGTCTGGATTTAGTGTTTAACTTCAAGCATTCAAGTTTTAAATATTTATCCTTAGCTTTTCCTCATCTGTAAAATATATACCCCACAAAGGTTCAGGAGACTTAATTCATTATTGTTTGGAAAAATGTTTTCAATTCCCTAGATAAAATATGTCACAGAAGTGCAAAGTATTATTAACAGTAATTGATTGTCATTGTGGGAAAAAGTGACCTGCCCTTACAGAAGATTAATGGATTCTTCAGGTTACTGGTGTGATGGTAATTAACAATGCAAACAGAGCTGATGAGGCCTTACTTTCACATTTGATTCTTACATGTTCATAGCTTTGCTCTTCCCAGACTCCAATGGGGAAAGGGAAGGAGTTTCTGGGAAGGTGTGGGTATGCAGGGATACCAAAGGCCTGTTCATTTGTGTTGTGGTGCCTCAGTGGCACAGCAGTTACCCTCCCAAGGTGTTCCCCTACCAACAGCTGCTCTGGAGGGAGGGATTTAGAGCTGGAGGGGACAATATGTGGCTACGAGCATGTGCCCGTGGTCCCTGTGCTCTCCAGCCCGTTCTCCATCTCCCAGGACCTACAGCTCTCTGTTGTTTCCCCAGATTGCAGAGACCTATGCTTTCCTCCCGAGAGAGGCTGTGACCAGGTTCCTGATGAGTTGCACTGAGTGCCAGAAGAGGATGCATTTCAACTCCAACGGCCTGGAGCCCAAAGGTAAAGGCAAGTGGCTTCTGCCAGCAGAGCTGACTCTGCATTTTGCACCAGCACAGTGCCACCAACAGCTGCCAGACACTGTCCTGCCCAGGAGATACATCCTAACCTAAGGGTTTTCCTAACCTGGGATATTTTACATGAAGGAATTGCTTAAACCTGCTCCTTTCAGCTTTGGGAGCAGAAGCAGCCTGGCTTTCTTTCCAAGCCTTCCCCAGTGCTGCCCAAAACATGGGTCAGAAATACCACAGATATGGCTGCAATCAACCCTTGATCATGTGAGGGTGGAAACCTCAATGTCTATAAAAATAACCTTAAGTTTTTCCCTGGAACTGATGATTTTGTATTGAAAGACACAGAATATGACTGAATAGCTGAAGTTTCTGATAAAGAAGCGATTTACACTTAATTAATAGATAAGCACGGGATCCCGAGTTAGATAATGGCAAGTGTTTTGGCAATCCCAGTTACACTGTGCCTGTGTACACACACAATTAGTGTGGCCACTGAGGTGGTTGACTCCTTATGGTTCTTTTGTGGGCAGTTCCAATCTGCAGCTTCTTAGGTGTAAGAGAGAGCAGGAGTGGGAAGAAGATGGGACCAGATTCTCTTCCAGAGTAGCTGCTTAAATGTTTGTGTGGTTGTTTTCTGAATTACAAACTTGTTTTCATGGTCAAGTGCATAGCAAGTGCAAAGTGATGTTGATTTCAGTCATTAAAATTGCTACTTTAAAGAAAAAACCTAAGCAAACTGCTGGGAGTTGGTCAGTTTCAAAAGTGGCAAGGCAAAGTGGCTCATTTGGCAGCTCTTATCAGGAAGGGAAGCAGAATTTAAGGAACAAAAGGCCCAACAATTGAGAATTTCTTCTATTAAACTGTTTACTGCTGGGAGCAGAGCTATGGACATCCCAGAGGTTTTGTGTAAGTGGATTATGTGCCATCTATCCAAAGGTAGTGACTGAAATGCTTTGTACTCATTATATTTTTAAAAAAACTCTCAAAAACTCTCCCAAACAGCTCCATGTGAATTCTATTAGTTGAAGCTCCGTTACCACTTCCCACTCTGACAGCTAAGGGCCTGATCCCTCTTTCCAATTACATCCAGAAAATTTTGGCCTTGCTGGGAGCAAACCTGACCTTCACCTGGATTACACTGCATCCATCATGGGTGAGGGTCCTTCACAGAGTCACAGACTGGTTGGGTTTGGAAGGAACCTTAAAGTCCCTCTCATTCCAACCCCTTGCCAAGGGCAGGGACACCTTCCATTAGATCAGGTTGCTCAAAGCCCTGTCCAACCTGGTTTTCCTTCAGGGGCTTCCACCCACCCACCATCCTGCATCTCCTGTGCCTCTCCCAGCAGCACACACCCATCCCAGTTCAGAGGCAGCTCTGGGAACCTCTGGTTCTGGATATCCCCTTGAGTGTGGTCCTAGCTGTGGGAACCATGATCAAGGCTGACACCCATCTGTCCTGAACAAATTTATAAATTAATATCAATTAGTGATTATTTTCATAGACCTTCTGCCCTTAGCAGTTCTCTTAAAAATAAATCAACCAGGAATACAAAGGATCCCGCAGGTAAAAAGTCTTACCCACCATGAATACATGAAAGAACAGAAGTGTTTCTCTGTCTGAATAGCACCTAAATAGTGACTAAGTACATGTGAAAATGCATTGAGTAGATTAGACAGGGTTACTTTTCCTGGGGAAGGGTGTCTGATTTCACTAACACGTATTCAGAAATTTATCAGGAGCAAATCACCTAAAAAAACCACTGGGGTCATAGAAGAATTACTGAGGTGTATGCACGTGCATACACACATTCAGGCACATACAGGTAAAGTTTAACTCAGTAAGAAGACAAAATTTGAGTAATTCCCATCTCTTTCTACTTCTCTTGTCTGTGAAAGAAATCTGAACACATTTAATTTGTGATCACAAAAATCCCTAATTAAACATATCTGCCATCAAACCCTGCAGGGCACCCACATCATTCATAAAAGCAAATTGTCTTGCTTGTGGGAAGGTTTGAATGTCACTGGACTTCACTGGGATCTCTTTACAGTGGTATTAAATTAGGAGTAATTCTGGTGGAGTGATAAAAATGTGGAGCTAGGATCAAAACCATTTCTCCTTGTTCCATCTGTGTGTCCAACATGTGGGGCATGTGATAGAGATAACTGCAAAATGAGCCAAAGGATTCCTGGAGCTTCCTCTTGTGGCACAGGATGTGAGGATTGTTCCCGTGGAGCCCCCCAGGCCTTTGAAAACAAAGGTTTTCTTTCTTTCCCAGATAACTTAGGAAAAAGGAGAAAGAAAAAAAAAAAAAGGGTTTGGTTTCTTGGGCTCAAGCCCTTCTCTGGTGCAGTTGCACAAATTCACATTAAATTTGTGTCCTCTAATGGGATTGTTCCAAATTTACATCAGAATGGTTCCAGGCAGAATCCAAGATCACTTGCCTCCCTCTTCCTCCCCATCTGAAGTTGCTGAGCTGCTCCTGTTCAGCTTCATTCATCTCTGCAGCGCTGAGCAGTGGAGTGGGGAATGGCAGGAGAGCGACTTATCATCCTCAGGGATCCCAAACACTCACCTCACCGTGCCTGTGCCTCAGCAGAGAGCAACTTATCATCCTCAGAGATCCCAAACATTCACCTCACCGTGCCTGTGCCTCAGCAGAGAGCAACTTATCATCCTCAGAGATCCCAAACATTCACCTCACCGTGCCTGTGCCTCAGCAGAGAGCAGCTCTATCTGTGATACTCTGAGCAAATGCTTTCCCAAACTCTTAGGGACTCAGCCAGCTGGGGCAGGTTCAGCTCCTGTGAAAAGCTCCCCTAGCACTGGGATTTTAACATCTTTTCATCACAGCACAATAAAGGTTTATTTTGGGTCTTATAGAGACATATAAGTGCTCCTAATCTGTAGGTCAAAGCATGACAGAGACAGCTGACATACAGCCATGAGAAAAGATGGAGGATCAGTTTACAAGGTTCCTAAAAGCTTTGGACCTTCCTGTTTGGGCAAGTTGATGACTTGAGTGGCACTGGCCACCCTTCCCTGCACCCACAGGCAGGAATGCTCCATCTGCCCAGGAATGGACCAGATTAACCTGAGAAAAAAAAGCATTGTATTTCCATGGACCCAGTCAATGTCTTGATAGAGAAGATTTGCAAAGACCTTTGTGATGTTTAAGTCGATTACAGGCAGTTTTAGGGTCAGGTAATTTCCTAATCAGTCATGATAGATGTGGTGTTTCCAGAGGTGTGAAGCATCCTCAGGTCTGCTGAGTTTCAACAGGATTTTTTTACACTCAGCATTTCTGAGAAGCAGGCCCATTAGGATTGGGTTGATGGCTTTTCTGAGGTGCTGTAAAACATTTTGTGAAGGCTTTTTTTCAAAGGGCTCTGTCACACATGCCTGTGAAACCAGTGACCCCAGAAAAAGCAAGGCAGCCAGGGAGATTCAGAAGCAGGAATGGAAACCTCCCACTATAAGTTCACCTTCAGCTCCTGGGAATCCTTCTTTCCCTGTTACTGCTTAAGCTCCCTGTCCAGTGGGTACCACACATCCCTTCAGCATGTGCTGGAAGGCTGGATTAATTCCCCAGACTTGCATCTGCCTGTGCTGAGGGCAAAGAGATCTTGCTTGTAGCCATCAGCCATCCCTGTGGGCAATGGCAGCTTTCCTCCTGGACAAACCCACTATGTGAGCCTGAAAATTCAGTGTTAGAATAGATCATTCCAGCAGCCTTCATGTTCTGTGTCCTGCAGGATCTGTAGTGGTGGTGGCAGAGCAGAAAAATCTTTGAGAATTCAGAGAAATCACTGAGAATTTGCTTTGTGGACTTGACAAAGTGATTTGCAGGAGCATCCAAACCTGGAGCCATCTCTAGAGCTCAATGTGATGCAGCCAGAGGAATCAACAGGAACAATTTAAATTAAAGATCTCTAAAATTAAGTTTGTGCTTTAATGAGGATGTTAAAAATAATCTTCATCACCAGATAGAGATACTTAATACGTTGCCTTAATGTTAACTCCTACCTGAGGGAATCCCAGCAAAATTGGCAAGACTTTGCAATGCTGAAGCAAGCTGCAAATAGATCCTTGTTCATCACCCCCTGCATAAATCCCATGTGCATGGAAGCACTTCTGAGGCTTCAGCAAGACTCAATTTCTTCCTCAGGTTTGGGGGATACTGAAAAATTATACATTATGTGTAGTTTTTTTCACAGGTGACAGCAATGCTTTTTTATTTATTTTTTTTTCCAAGACAACATCTGTTCTGTAATTATGTTCTTGGTGGGGTCATGTTCTTAGAGGAACCTTCTCTCAGCGGGTGGCTCTTGCCAGGGATTTGAAGTTCTCCTGAGTACCCTGAGTTACAAGAACATACCTGCAGGTCCCTCATCTAAATAAAGCTTTTCCTCTGTTCTTCAGAGAGTGAGCCACCTTCCTCCTTGGTTTCTGGGATCATTGACTACAACATGCCCCTCACCTCGACCTACCTGAAGCAGATGAAGCTGCGGGTGATGAATTCCCAGGAGCAGGTGAGTGATCTGCCCGTGCCGAGAGGCTCAACGGAGAATGGGGAGGGGCACTTGGATTCCAGGAGGATGTTTTTGGGAATGCCTGGTTTGTCTGAGCTTGTGAGGCTCTGAGCAAGCACAGCACGTTGGGAGGCAGTGTATCCTGCATCTCCTGGAAGCTGAGCTGCTTTAGAGTTGTGCCAGTGGAGAGAGGCAGAGATGGGGTTGATTAAGTTGTAACAGTCTGCTTGTTCTTTAGACATACGGTTCTTCTAAGAAATTGTTTTAAAAATAAATATGGCAAGTAGTAATTTGTTTATCTCCCACGGATGTCTGGGAGCTTTAACAGATGGGGTCTGAAGCCCAGACCTGGCTTTGGTTGCTCTGGGGCTCTCTTAAACTGCTCAGCAACTGGAGGGGTTCAGCTGCAGCCGCTCCGCTCCCACGTCAATGTGGGACACGGCTCTGTTGTTTGGTGACAGTGTTAAGCCACTGGATTTTGCTTTGGGGATGTATGGGGCACCCTGCCACAGGATTATACCCAGGCTGTGCAATTTTCTGAAGTTCTGCAGCTGCAGAATTAGCTATGGGAACCTCTGTGCACCATGGAAACAGTCTATAAAAAGAAAAGTATGTTTTACTTGCTCCCCACAATCTGCACTGGAAGCCAGTGCTGGATTTTCTTTCCAGCACTCTGAAACCTGAACCTGATTTCACACATTGCTGCCAGTGGCAAGATGTGACAGCATTTGCATGGTGCTGTGGTGGAAAACATTGCTGGGAGCCTGAGCACCCGATGGGGGCTTTTATCCAGCAGCTTCCTAAAGGGATGTGGGTTAGAGCATCATTGCCAGGGTGTGAAGTGCCAAGTGTGGGTTTGCTGGAGGGATACCGAGCTGCTCTATCACTTCTGTTGTGAAACCTTCTTGCTGGAGGACAAAATGGCATCTGGTGGGAAGCACTTCTGTGTCTCAGAGCTTTTTCCTTTGCACTTGTTTGACACTTGAGTGATTTCAGGATTTGTTTTAGGTTTTAAAAGGTGAAAGGCTGATGTGCCAGGTTTTGTGCTCATGATGGGTCAGGCAGTAGAACTGTGGGCAATTTGGGGGGCAGCTGGGTTGAACTGGACTGGGCTGAACTGGGCTATGCAGATGGAGTGGGTGGATGTGCCCCTTTGTGCCATCTGATTGCTACTTTGGGACCACTTCAGGATAAATAGGCCAGCATGTTCCAATGACCTTTGGGTTGCTCACTGTTTGCTGGGTCTTGGTGCAGCTCCTGGCAGCGTGGCATTGGTGTGGCAGACCCTGCAGTCCTGTTCTTCACCAAGGTCAGGGACTCAGGGCCATCCATGAAAGCTGGCTGTGCTTTCCAGCATTTGAGGTGGTTGCTTCAAGTTTACTACAGAGGACTGAGTAGTTTAACTTGTAGCCATTTATGCATTTTCAACCAGTTCCTCTTGGCTCTGAAGCTGCTTAAGGGAAGTGTGCTACAAAGCTTCATTAAACTCCTGTATGCAGTTTATACAGGTAAATACTGACCAAACTTGCAGTTTGGTCTTACTCCCAGGCTAGCAAACCACCTAGAAGCTGGGAGGCTTCAGTAGTGGATCTTGAGTTTTTGAGCTACCTGCTTAGGGATGCTTGTTTTGAGAACTTTAGTTGGTAATTTAGAGTTCATCCCCTGAATTTTGGTGCAGCAGTTTGCACTGCAACTGTCACTAGATCGATATAACGTGCTGCTAACATGAATACTCCTGAAGCTTGCAGAGATTGGAATAGAAGCGTATGTCATGCAGGAACAAAAAGGGACCAGCTGAGGCAACCAGCAGTTGTTGGTTTAGATCATAAATCAAATGGTTTGATGTTATTCCCTGCCTCCAAAGTTTTCCTTCTCCTGTGCTCCTGTCGTTACACTGCAGCACAGCTTTCGAAGCTTTTCAAGCTGTAGCAGCCAAGGGAAAAACCTGTTTGGAAGAAGTAAAAATTGCTGTTCACTGTATTACTGAAACTGATTCCTGAGAGCAAAGTAAAAAAAGGATCAGTCCTATTGCTCAGACTTCTGAAGCGTTGAAATTTTCCATCATGACAAAAGTCTGGAGAGGATTCAGATGGCTGGGGAAAATCCAGCAGGATTTGAGTGCAGTCTCTCCTGACATGGGACATTCCCTGGCTTCCCCTGGGGAATCAATAGAATTATTTAGGTTGGAAAGATCTTCAGGATCATTGAATCCAACCATTTCCCCAGCACTGCCAAGCCCACCAGTAAACCATGTCTCCAGGTGCCACACTGACATGGCATAAATCCCTCCAGGGATGGTGGGCAGCCTGTTCCAGGGCTGGACAACCCCTTTGGTGAAAAAATTCTTCCTGATTCAACCTAAACCTCCCCTGGTGTAACTTGAATGAAAACAAGTGCCACACTCCTGAGGCAGCTGTGGCTGGACCTGGAGCTGCTAATGCTGAGGCTACCTGAAGATAATGTGTGTAATAATGCAAATAACAGGGGTCAGGTCCCTCCACAAGCACTCCCCTGCCAATTTTATTCTATTTATTCATACACTGCACTGGAAAGAAAACAGTGCCATCCTTTTTTCCCTGGAGGATCCTGGCAGTCTGTGTGGAGCATGGTGTGTGAAACAAGGGCTGTGTGACACAGGGTGATGGTTAGGGTTGCACAGTTCAGGTGTTGCAGCTTTTGGAGTTCCAGGTGTTTGCCAACTGAAGGAGCCCTCTGAAGACAGTAGAAATAATTCTGACTTTTAAGCAAATGCAAAACAGGCAGAAAATACAACCTCCTTCTTAAATTTGCCCTATGCAGATATCCCCTGCAAGGGTTTTATCTACCAGCACATCCAGGCTGCTCTCGCTGAGCGCTGCCACTTTGCTGCCTCGCTCTCACTAACATTTGATGGTGTTAATAGAAATAAATTAAGCAATGGACTCATGTTTCCCTTGGCTTTGGCCAAAAGCAATTATTTGTATGCAGCAGCACCAGGAGAAACTCACTTCACTTAGGGTAACAATGAGTGAATTTATGCCAAAGTGGCCTTTTAACTTCATTATTCAGGGAAAAAAAAAATAGTGCATGTAAGTGTAATCTATTAGTGCTGCTAAGCACATCAGTATTAGGGCACCAGTGTTTCCAGAAGGAAGCACAGCCAGGAGAACCTTAAAGAAAGCATTTTATCCCTGCCTAGGGACAAAAAACTGTCAGAAAAGAAGCTCTTTATGTGGTTGCTCACAAAAGGAAGAGTTCCCACAGAATATATCTCTATATACTTTTTGGAGTCCAAACATCTGTTCTGGGACAGTGGAAAACAGCAGAGACCCATGTTGCTTATACTGGGTTCAGTAGGACATGCAGGTTCTTCTGGAGTGGGAACCTTCCTTTATCCCCATTTTTTTACCAGTTCTCACATGTGTGAAAAACCAAGCCCCTTACCCTTTCCAGGGTGCTGAATTAGTCCCATTTCATAGTATCTACCAAAGCATTAAGCATCTCTGAACTCCAGACTGTCCCAATCTAGCAGCAAAAAGGAATGAATAGAAGATATTTGATATTTATCTGTAAAGATCCTTCCACTTCATTTTCAAATGCTAAATATTAGCATTTTTAAATAATTGGTTATTCAACTGCAGTCATTTTTCAGACAATCTTTTCTGTTATTCAACCTCAGCCTTGGATTTATTTTTTATGCTGCTGTTGGGCAGGGTTTCCACTGGTGACAGAAGGAATAGAAAGATTTTAAGAGGACAAATCTCAGCACTGAAATGCCAGGCTCTCTCTGCTCCAGAGTTGTTGCTGCTACCTTGGCAGGAACAGTCCAGGGCCAAGTAACCAGGTTTAAATGATACAGAAACGTTTTCAAAGATTGCTTCAGTGGCTGCTGGCAGAAGGTCATGCAATCAGTGAATGGCAGGAGCTGCTCTTGGATGGGAAATAAGAAGAGTGTTTTCCTTGTTGCTATGGCTTTGCTGCACTGACTTGTGTTTGAGAGGGACAGAGCCTTGTCCTGCACCATCACACATCCCATCCATCCAGTAATTTCCCTGTAAGCCTGGAGTGTGTGACAGTGCATGGATGTGAGGTGGTTTTCAGAGCACTATTTCAAGCAATGTTTTAGCTCAGACAGCTGGATCATCCTGGAAGGGGGTGCAGGGGCTTAAATCCCACCCATGTGCAAGGAGTTGGTCTTGTCTGGTGCTGGTGAGGATCAAGCCTCTGCAGGGTTTGAGAGTTCACCGAGCCTCATGACCAGAGGCTGGTTGGCAATGTGAATTCCTCTCCTTTTTCCCTGGCCTGCCCATTACTGTGCTTGCTCACTTCAGTGTCTCAAAGGCTCTGAGAGCAGCTAAGATGCATCTTCCCCTGGCAGCTCACTCCCTTCCTTCTGCTTTGGAGCCATCTCCAGCCAGTCCTGGGGGTGCAGACAGCAGGGAGGGGAGCCTGCAGCCACACAGGAAGGCACACTGGGTTTTTATTTTCAGCCTGGAAGTTCAGTAGCAAGAATTGCAGACATCTCATTCCACATAGTCCAGAGACCAGGAGCAAATTTGGCAGAGCTGGCTGGACAAGCCCTGGGACCTGGATTTAGCTGTTTTATGTAGGCATCCTGAAGAAAAGCTGTGTGTGTTCACAGAGGTGAGGAGGGCAGAAGCAGGCAGTACTTGACAGGAAGTGGGATGATGCGTTTGCATCACATGAGGATGATAAGGTACTTCCCAGTCCATTAAAGAGGGTGTTAAACATCTCCGGGGGAATAAATACCTCTAGATCAACTTGACTTGAGCTCTAGATAGTTCTCATTCAAGAAGTTTTGTCATGGTTTGGGATATTTGTTTCCTGATGCTAATTTTTAAAACAATTTTTGAGCACTAGAGAAGTTCCTTGAACGCACCCTTAGGCACAGAAGGGAGCACCGGCCGTAGGCACAGGGAGACACCGAGTCAGGAACAGATTTCCTCGCTGCTCGGCTGCACAGCCCTCTAGTGGGGACAGAGCTTCTGCCGCCGGGAGCC